AGAACCTCAAGAAAACTTATATTATCCTGATCTATCCGACACTGAAGTTTTGTCTTTATTGTTTTTAATAAATATACTTATTTGTTCTGTAAGCTACTTCATGCATTCTTTCTTCAAAAACGGGCAATATTATTAGTTGGTTCACCCAAATATGACAATGTCATATAACTGACGTTATTCCTGTTTTTGAAGAAAGGATGCGTAAACGTAGCTAAGAGAACGAATAATAGTCTAAGTAAATTAATTGAAAACAATAAAGACAAAACTTCGGTGTCGGATAGATCAAGAGTATATAAGCTGACTTGTGGCTCTTGCCCAAAACTGTATATTGGCCAAACAGGAAAAACATTTTGCCAAAGAATTAAAGAGCATAGAAGTAGTTTTGTAAATAGAAAGACCAATTCCACATTTGCACACCACCTATTAGCAGAAGGACATGATTTCAATCATGAATACGACGTGTTACATTTAGAAGAGAAGAGTTTGAAACTCAATCTTCTAGAATGTTTAGAAATCAACAGATTCAGGAATTCGGGTAATTTACTGAACGGTGAATTAGAATTGGATAACTCCCCGTTACTAAATATTTTTTCAAATGTGGAATTCTGGGACATAAGCTCAGGTAATTTAATTTATTACATACTTAGGTATTAATTAGGTAATTTAGGTAATAATTAGGTACTTCAAATTGTAAAATTAGGTATATTAAGCGTTTCATATGTAGAATATAGTTAGAATATAGTTAGTAAAGACACATCCGAAGAAGCCATTGTATGGCGAAACATGTGTTACGTTTTTGTAAAATTGTTTAGTGAAAATCTCACAATAAAGTGTTTTTGAGTATCTTTGTGATGGATTTTCATCATGTATCGGCCAATTCCATCATATAACCTATTTCGATTTCATAAGCTACTTCTCAAGTTACCCTACACTTGTAGCCATTGCAAAATATTTGCTCCTTCTGGCCCAAATCTCAAAATACCCATATAAAGTTAGTAAATATTACTAACCAAAATCATTACCTTTAACTTGAGAAGAATCAAAGAAAATACAGAGTAGACATTCAGGTTAAACAAAATCGCATTAAAATCGAAGAAAAACAACGAATGTAATCCAAAGCGTCGTTCTTTAGATGCACTACAAAGAAAACCTTTGGGGGGAAAACTTCTAGCCCCATCTTGATAAGGTACAAATTATCCCTTCTGTTAAGAAGGGACATATACATAGTCAGTTGAGCCATACTACTGCAACTGTTATATCGAAGCTATGTTCACCAGGGCTATGTTGCATATGAACCAATTTCAACTATCAACGTCAAAGTATACTGATAACCCGCAACAGAACTTGCACAGAAATGCTGACCACTTGAACGAAGCAAAGTGTGATCATATTTGAAGCATATCAACTTCAAAGGCAGAACTTCCGGACTAACAACAATCTTGATGAATAAGAAATATTCTAATTTCGAGCACCAACCCGGTGGCTGGCACAGTTTATTTGCCTTGCCTTACACAAACAAAGTCAAAGTCACGGACCGCATCGGAAAACATCACAACACAAAGACGATTTACAAACCAACTTATCGACTATGCAGAAACTATTAGATGAGCCAATGACAAAAAAGAGCCTCTGAAATCCGCCACTTTTTATAGGATTGCCTGTTCCTGTGACTCAGTTTACATGGGATCTATCAAACGCATCGAAGTTTTATTTCTCGGACTGACAAAACTTCCATTGAATCTTTAATGAAATTTTCTCATATTTTTGAAAACTATATCTAATAATGTAGATACACCCCAATTTTATAAGTATGAATTGTATTTGCGAGGCTCTTGCGAAATTTAGTGGTATTTGTAGTAGACGTCAAAGTGCAGCATGTTCTGAGGAAGAAAAAAAGTCAAACAATTTATTGACTAGTTTGCTACGTTACTACTATTCTACATTTTTCAACTTCGTTTTTAGGTAGGGTTAGCCGTTGATGTTGGTCAGATTAATTTACCAGTTCATGTCATCCAAAACAGGGCTCTTGTGGATACTCATATAGAATATTCCTGTGAACGAAATGTACACTTTCTGAACCTTGGTACATTCAGAAGTTACCGAAATTTCGAGGCTAGGCATTGATATTTCTTGCTTTTACTGTTAGTGTCTTCAATTAACCTGTGATAGTGTTTAGTCTAATGAATTTAATCAGTATTGCCTCAATAAATAATCTCCACAGGGTTCTAACTATTTCTTACTGTTTTTGGGTATATAACCTTCCACAATCTAAAAAGCTAAATCAATAGAGAATCTGCTCAAATGTAATGTAATAAATGGCAAACTGCGTAATATAAATCACTGAAAAATCAAGTTAGTCAGAAACTTGTCGTATTTATAGTTTTTGCTTACAAATTGAAAAAAATTAAATTTCTACATTTAACTTTCGGAAAACAATCCGTTTTCCAAACCCAAAAATCACTTTAAAACTTTCGCCTCAGATTGTAAATCGTTTTAATTCTTTTGACATACGTCCATATTACGCAGAAACCTTTTTTTTTATGAACTCATCAGTTTGCCCTTCATTACACTACAGCAATTTCTCTATTGATTTAGCTTTGTTTATTTTTCATTCAAAGTATACTGATAACCCGCAACAGAACTTGCACAGAAATGCTGACCACTTGAACGAAGCAAAGTGTGATCATATTTGAAGCATATCAACTTCGAAGGCAGAACTTCCGGACTGACAACAATCTTGATGAATAAGTAATATTTAACTTTCGGAAAACAACCTTTTTCCGTTTTCCAAACCCAAAAATCACTTTAAAACTTTCGCCTTAAATTGTAAATCGTTTTAATTCTTTTGACATACGTCCATATTACGCAGAAACTTTTTTTTTTTTGATGAACTCATCAGTTTGCCCTTCATTACACTACAGCAATGTCTCTATTGATTTAGCTTTGTTTATTTTTCAGGTTGTGGAAGACCATACACAAAAAAAAACAGTAAAAAGATTGAGTCCTCAACAAAAAGTGTCTTTCAAATACTAGTTCTAACTATAATATGTTAGACAAATGAATATTATTCTAAGAGTTCAAACACTTTCACAAAAAGAAAAGGGAAAATCCAATTTTCATTTAACTCTGCGGTGCAGAAATGCAAATAATTTTTTGAGCATATTCTTAATCTACAAAATCCTCTGGAAACGATTTTCCCCCCAAAAATAAAATGAAACAGTTTGAATGTAAAATACACTTGAATAATGAATACTTTTTTCAACTTTTAGCGTTCTCATTAAATATTTATGTTGAGTTGCCTGATAACAAAGAACTTTCGTCTCTTTTTTTAAGGTCACGAAAAGTCGGATATATCCATTGAAAATTAATATTGTACAAAGCCATATACATTCGAGTCTACGTATGGGGATCTCTTGAACGGCATAGAGAATAGGTTAAATTATGGCAAACTTTCATTTTTTCGTGAACCATTGAATCATATCAAAAAATATACTTTTGTTTCAGAGATCCCTACTATCCCTACTAATATTATAAGGGCGAATGTAAGTTTGTTTGTTACGGTTTCGCGCGAAAACTACTCAACCCATCATCATGAAATTTTGTACACATGTTCTTGGAGGTATTAAAAGTAACTGCGAATGTAAGTTTGTTTGTTACGGTTTCGCGCGAAAACTACTCAACCGATCATCATGAAATTTTGTACACATGTTCTTGGAGGTATTAAAAGTAACATAGGATACTTTTTATTAATTTTTTTTAATTCAAGATGAAAAAAATTAAAATTATTTATTTTTGTTACATATTTCAACATTTGTTGTTGCAATTCAATAAAACATATTTTGAATTTTCGAAACTTTATCGTATGTAAGTTAAGTGAGTCCGAAAATTCAGGGAGTTAAATCATTATCAAATAAATTAATTTTTATTACGGTATTGATAAGCACTCCAATGAATGTAATTCTTATTGTCTTTATGTACCACAGCTGATTTTCAAAAACTTCATCAAAATTCACACCTGAAATGTGTTGATATTACAATCAGCATAAGTAATATCTTAGTTTTCAGTCAATTCCATAAATAATGTCTTCTTGAGAGATGAGAGAATTGAGTCCAACAACGCAGTCGTTGTTCAGCCTAGCACCCTTGATGAGACCTACGTCAGGTCTGATAGTAGATAATGAATGCTTAATTTTTGGACTCAACCACTGAAAAATATGACCAAATATGAACCGTGTATTGTATGTTATTCGAAAAATTCACCTAAATAAAAGATTACGGCAAAAATTCAGCAGTGAACTGACACAGTGGTAAAAAACATAAAAAGTTTCAATTCTCTTTTCTTCATTCTGAAAATAAATAATAATGTTAGCCCTTTCATAACTAAACACCACTGTAGGTTATAAGAGAGCTACTTAACTCAGCTGGTTAACGGAAAAACATATTTTAGCAGATTTTAATTGAGTACCTGAATTTTATTTACCTGTGACAATGTGGGTATGCTAATTTGAAAACCGGTGAGTAAACGAGATCGATTTGATCATTTAGCAGACTACATCCGCAATGCTTATGCTTTTGAATTTCCAAGGATTCCAAAAAATGAGTTTACAATATTTGCTTGCATAGTGCAAAATTTCCGTTTCGTTTAGATTCGGGAACTTGTGATTACATTCCAAGGTATGATTTGAAAACGGCGAATCATTTTTACTTAGTCTGAAGGATCTTTCATGTTCAGTATACCGTCACTATTACACTCCGGACACTTAAGCTTATAAACTCCAGATTTCTCCATCTTGTCCACTTTATCTTTGGCTTTAAAAAGGAAATTAGGTAACCTGGCATGTGGTCTGAATGCCACTTCCACATTGTTTTTTCTGAAAAAACCCGCAAATTGTCTGTGTTCTTTCACCAAAATTTGTTAGGGTTACAAATTTCTTGATTGATGATTGTTTGATCTGGGAATATAATAATCTGCACGTGAATTTGTGGCTTTGTTTTCTGACTAACTTCTGGATTGCGTATGCGTTGAAACTATTATTACGTCCTATCTGTATCATTGTTTTGATTTTGATATCTAGGCAACGAGAATGCTCTGTGCAACATTAAATTGTAGGCTGCTAATTTATGACTGTCGGGATGGAAAGAATCACTTGGGATTGTAATGAAACAGATTAATTTCTTAGACCTAACCATTACACATCATCAGAATAAATTTGAGTTCAATGTATTCAGAAAACCGAGCTATACAGATATTACAATCCCAAGTGATTTTTTCCATCCCGACAGTCATAAATCAGCAGCGTGCAATTTAATGTTGCATAGAGCATTCTGGTTGCCTTTATCTGCCAACAATCTAGATAGGGAAATTAAAACAATTATACAGATAGGACGTAATAATGGTTTCAACGCAGACACAATCCAGAAGTTAGTCAGAAAGCAAAGCATGAAATCTACGTACAGATTAATATACCCCCAGATCAAACAATCAGAGATTAAGAAATTTCTAACTCTAACATATTTTGGTAAACGAACAGAGAAAATTGCGGGTTCTTTCAGAAAAAAACGTGGCATTCAGACTACATGCCAGGTTATCTAATTTTCTTTTTGATGCCAAAGATGAAGTGGTCAAGATAGAGAAATCTGGAATTTATAAGCTTGTGTGAGGAGTGTGACAGTGCTTATGTAGGACAATGTGGCCGAAATTACTCAAGACGGTATGGTGAACATGAAAGGCCCTTCGTACTACGTAAAAATGATTCGACGTTACTTATACTTGTAGTGAGCTATTATAGTCCGCTTGGTTTGACCAACACAATTTTCATCTCAATCCTAACAGCTTCTTTCGTAAATTCCAGACTTTTCCTTTTCCATTGTCTTGTCTTTCGGGTTGCTTAACACTTATTGAAATGTACCAGCAGTTTTGAAACCTACTTTCATATGCAATTTGGACCAGTCCGTTTATTTATTTTGTTTCTTTGTCTTTCTGAAAAGTTGAGGATTTACGAAGACACTATCTGAATTTTTCCAATCAACTCATTTGAAAGATACCTATTTTTTTACTCATTTACTTGATTACTTATTTTCGATATCTTATCTTTCTTTGCCGAAGAGGAACGTGAACAACACAAGACAATGTAGTCTCGCCAATTTTTGTTGTAGACAATGGTGGGAGCTGCCAGGAATATCTATAAGTATTAGTCTTTTTCCTATAAACATCAAATTATAAAGCCTCATCGGCGTTTCTTATAACTAGAACATCCTAGAATTTTCATTTGATACGTGATCTTTATCCATCGAAAGTGATCTGAATTTTCTCTTACTTCCATTAAAAATCTGCTCATGAACAAATCAGCCATTACAGGAGGCAACAGGATGTCCATTGTCGTACCCTCATGTTGTTTGTAGCAAAACTTCTTTGAGCTGAAACTTGTAAGTATTCAATCCTACAGTACCAAAAATATAGGGTCTGCCAAAAATCTCCAAACAAGGCAAGTCGGTGCAACTCTTTGTATCCGCAACACAGTTTGACTGTCGTTGATTCACAATAATTCGCCAAGTGTTATTTCCATTATTCCACTATCGAATATTTGAAGGGTCTTTTAGAAATCAATGCATATTGTGGTGAAGAAGTGGAAGAGTACATCCAGCCCACGCAAATTTGCATGAAACATAATTGCAGTTACATACAGTAACCCGTTGTTCCCTTTCATGGCTAACCTGTTCATGAGCGAATTTTAAATTGAATAATATATTTAACATTTTCGACACGCCTCAAAGACTCACGAGAGGACGATGGTAGTCGCCTCCGCTGGTGTTAACAGGTGGTTCTCTGTCTAATAGAGCCTCATTTCAGCATTCAGTCTAAGACTTCCCGCTTCCTGCTGAGGCTTGCGCAAGATTTATCGAGATGTTGCGATTCCGATACCTCATATATAAGTGTACTAAGTGGATGTTACAGGTTTATCACTAGCCCCCTTCCCCTGAAAAAGTTCATGAAAAAACCAGGTAAGGGTAATTCTGATATCACGAGAATACGTGAATTATCCTATCCAGCTGTTTCATGAGCTACGCGCGATCGCATTCACGCCTTTCATGAAGATATCGAGCATTTCATAAACCAGCCCGTGTTTACGGGCTATTTATGAAAGCGTCGTGACGTCCCTCGTCAGCGGGCTTTTCAGCAGAAACAACTTGAAGAATTCATAAGACAGCCTCCTGATATGTTACGTGACCGTCTCAACTTCTACCTGATCTAACAGATCATTCAATCTCAAATACGGACCACCTTATTCTGCAGCGTCTCGAGTCTCCGCAGAGAAGTCCTCTTTAGGCTGCAGAATACGGGACAATCGAACAACATAGCTGGTCTTATTACTTGTTTGTAAATTAGTAGCTTGTCAACACTAAGCTTCGAGTTCCGTACAATGAGCGGGTACATGCCTTTAGCCGCCGGACCCGCTCGTTGGATCGCCAAGATCAAATGTTCCTGAAAACTCAGGGGCCTATCCAGGATAACTCCCAGATATCGCGCGCTCCTCTGCTCGTCAACGAAGTTACTCTTGACTCTCAACTTCCCGAAGATCTGCACGTTAGTAAATTTCTTCGAGAAATTGACGATTTCTGTTTTGTTAGGGTTTTCCCCGATTTTATTACGCTCGAAGTACGTCACGACCAACCTGTCGAGGTGTGTGGAGTACCAGTCCAACTGAGGATGCCTATGTACTGAAAGGCATTTGGAAATAAAGTATATATTGTGTAAATTTTATTACTTATTATTTTATTAATGATGTTATTAATTTTCACCAAGAACTACAGCTTGCCAAATGTAGGAAGAGCTTTCTGAATTCCGTTATGGTCCCGCCCACTAGCTGTGCGTTCGTTAGAGGACTATGAGAGCGAGAGAGACAGAGAGAGAGAAATAATTCTCAAGTTTCTTCCTAGATTTGACAAGCAGTTTATTCAAATTTTTTTTGTTTATTACCCCGAGTATCGATAATTTGACGATCATCAAATGAATTATAATTTTTTATGAAGGGTCATGGTTGCTACTCGAATGGACACAATTCTGATTATCTCCCAGTTCTCTTTGTATACCACAATTTATTTTTAAAAAATTCACCAGGTACTTGAATGCGTTGATATAACAAACCTCTAATATTTCCAATGAGGTTTTGCCATTTCGTACAACTTCCAAAAACCTATTATATCTAGCCCTCAATCCGGTTCTCGCAGAACAGGAGTCAGGCAGTAATAAAAAATACAGGTTATTGTTTTAGAATAATGAGCTGATATTAACTTCGATAAGAAAATGAATTCATATCCCGTAATCAAAAGCTCACATGAAGTTTTTGAGAGAAGTTGCATATTCCAGAAACCAATAACTCCGACGAATTCTTAGTTTTCAAGATATTGGAGAAATAAACATACGTATCTGATGGTGGTGGTAGATATTTTTCAATTTGATGAATTTCCACAGTAACATTCACAATGTTTCGGGAATTTCATATAAGCATCTTATCATATTAAGTGAGATCCAAGCAGCAGCTCATTTTTCTCAAACATCAATTCACACATATTTTCATTACCGGTTGGAAGTTCAAGTTTTAGGTAGTTGTGCAATAAAAAAAACCTCATTGGAAAATTGGAGTTTTGTGATATCAACACATTTCAAGTTTTTTCTGTGGTATATACAAAAAATTAAAATTGCTCCCATTTGAGTGATTATAAGGACCGTAATAAAAATAATAATTTATTTGATGATTATCAAATTACCGGAACTCTCGAAAGTATCGAAAAAAAGTAAATTAAACGATATTATATGAACATAACCGATCCAAAAATTGCTACTGTAAGTCCTTATTTGAAATTTCAAGGCCCCAAGCCTGATAACAACATACATAACATAACATAATAAAAAAGATGCAATAAAAAATATGAAGAAATGTTTGGTTTTCTCAGTACCTATATCTCCGTAACGAAAAAAGCTAGTAACCAAAAATAGACAAATTTGCCACAATTCAACAGATTCTTTATCTCTTACCATTTACGAGATCCCATACATACCCTCGAATTTGAATAGCCATGTATATTGATAAAGTAGGAAGACAGAAGTTATTACCAAAAAAGTCTTGGAGAAGTTCTTTCAATAAAATTCAATTATAAGTGCCTTCACAGACTCTGTTTTTTTTGGAGATATTTACCTTTTTAGTTTTTTGTGTTGTCAGGATATAACTTCAAAATACTCAATGCAAAAAAAAAACAAAAAACAATTGCGATTTACAGGTCGTACATAATTCAACGTCGAATTTGACAATGAAAGAACACAAACACTATTTTATTCCCAGGCAAACAACGTTATTAACAGTATGAATTTTCAAGACAACATTCTGAAAAATATGTCAAGACAATAGAAATAATATAAAAATAAAAGTGAAAAATTTGTAAATACTTTTCCAGTTGTTGTTCCCGCATTTTTTTAGTTCCAGTAGATTTTTTTTTAATAAAAATGTCACTTTCAGTACTAGTCTGAAATTTTGAACAACCTTCTGGTGAATTTACATATATAACTAGTTATTTATCATTTTTGTTTAGAAGTTCCATAAAATGTTTGCTTCTTTTCTCATGACATTATTTTTATGATTTATTACCTTTCTTTAATTGCCATATAAAACGGTAATATATTTATAATCGAGTTATTCTGAGATTATAAATTTGAAAAAAATACACATAAGTGCATGTATACAGAACTTTTTACGTATCTACCAAAGCAGATAGATTTTAACAATCGTATGCGAAATTGGGGTGACCCCAATATAAAAATATTTGAAATTCCATTCAGCATAATTGTCAACAGAGAGTTACTAGGTCGGGCAAATGAAACACTAAATATAATAAATTTCTTCCGCTAATCATTTCACGGAAAAATTGTGGACAATAAAAGAGTCTCCTATTAATATTTGAGAAATCAAGGTAATTATTATTATTGAAGAAAAGTATACTAAAAAATTAAATTCAAACACTCATTTCCAGAACAGAATAGCACTGTTCAACATCTTGGTGAGAATCAGTATATGAATAAAAAAATTGCACACAGAGGGCAAAAAACCATTACACCCCTAAAATCAATACCCTCACAATTCAATCTAATTTTGAAGTACACTCCACTAACCTTTCGAGTTCTCTTAAATGATCACTAACCAATAATTCATATGAATGCAACTTGAACAATCCAATTTTCGTTTTTTCACAATATAAACTCACTAACAAGCAAAACTGTTAAAAGAATTTGACATTTCGGTCGAACCTGTGAGTTCGGAATGCATGGAATGTCAAATATTTACATTGGCCACCTACCGCAAAACTTGTGAATATAAAAGTCAGGTTCACAATAGCCTAACAATGACTTTGTGAATAGCGTTTTTACGAGGACAAAGTAAGACATGTTATGTTATACTTCACAAAACTGTTGTCATAAAATTGAATCTCCAATGTGGTGAGGAAATACTTCCATAAATACTATCAGTTTCATCACTTGCACCAACATCTAGTGTGATTCAGGTTTTTCAGTCGGTGGCAAAATCATTGATGCTGCAGGCTGTAGAGAATGAGAAGGTAGTTTTGAAAATTTCAGAACGAGAATATGACCATCGACAGAAATGCGATATCAAAACTTTGATCCGTTAACTTTCCTACTTGGTTTATATAGACGAAGAAATGTCTACTGTGCCGGATGCCCGAATTTTAAGTAGGTAAATTCATAACGCGTGAAAATCATTGAATAACTACAGAAATACAAATAAACCAAGGGAAACAACTGTTACGAATGTTCCTCAGATTGCCCTATATGTTGATATGTTGATTGACTTTCATATGATTGCAAACATTATGCTGATGCTATATTCACGGAACAGATTTTTCCCAAATGAACACAAGTAGGAACCTCCTTAATTTGTAAAGCGAAACAATGGTTTTAAAATTCAAGACTTGTAACGAACGAGGTGTTCTGAAACTAATCTACTCCAAATAGCAACAAACTTCACAAACCATAAAATTATCTGATACTATTAAGTGCTTTCGAGTTATAATCGATGAAACATTGAAATTTTCCTATCTCGTGAATTATTTTGCCAAAAAACTAAGTAGAAGATGTTATGGATTGAGAATTTTGGACAAAATTACAAATACTTCTATCGCGAAAACGTTTTAATATGCCTATTACTTCTATTCTAGAGTTTGATATGGGATCTTTGTATGGATGCTATATTGCTAATATTTTTATTATTCAGAAAAAAATTGGCTTACAATGAATCATGTGTCACTTAATTCCTCACTATACTTGCTCTATATATTTAGGAATGCATAAAATTTCTTTCAAATAATAGACGTTACTTTGATATGTACAAAATTAATTATACATTCAACACCAGATACACTGAAAAATTTAATATACCATATCATCATCTCTCCTCACTAGAGACAGAAAATCTATATTAGTGTATAAAACTTTATATTCATTTAGCACCAAATATCAAATCTAAGCAACATTCTCGAACATAAAAAACCTTTGAAATTACTGATTCATCTGGAATCATACTCTGTTGAAGAATATTTTCAAAAACTTTTGAATCAAAAACCTACCTGACAACTATTGTTTATTGATTGGCTGTTACATTATTGTATGTACTACCTATATGAAAGAAATTATTGTTATTACCTAAGTATAACCACCAGGTCTCCGATATGCAAAAAATAATTGATATTTGTTCAGGTGAACCTCCTATTTGATTCGTTTTATTGAAAATATAATGCGAATTGACCTTAATTATTTTGAAAAATTCTGCAAACATTACATACTGTATTTCATTTTTGTATTGATTGTTGGCTAAAAAATTATTTGCAAAACTGAAATTAATGAACATTTTGGACAAAAAGATGATTCATTCGGGATATTACAAAGCTCCATGGCTAACAAACCGCTTTGATAAATTTGATTTACCTCAGCTTCGCTGAAATCATTATTGCTAACGTCCTAGTTTGAGCGTGCCCCCAAAACACACTTGCCCTGTTGAGCTGCAGAGTTGATTGATTAGTATTGCTAAGTTTAGAGAGATTTCCATATTTGTCAAAAAGCAAGATATGAACAATTGTAGAATAGAATAATAGGGCGCTTTGTTTCGAAGATATGGGACGAAGATATGGGACAATAACAATTTCCGTAATTTTAAAATTATTAACGTAGCCAAAATGAAAGTATTGCCTACTGCACTGGACCTACCAAATAATAAAAAAATCTAACAAAAATCCATCTGTGAATTATTGACAAATTATTGTCATTCACACCACCCCAACCTGTGATGCTGTAGTTGAGCTGTGTTCAAAGGCGTAGTAGAGTATTTTGAGATGTTTTATATCCAGAAAATCTTTCATATATTTGAATCTAAACTTCTTCATTACACGTTTTATTTGTAAGTCCCACTTCAGATGTTGATCAATTACGATGCCTAAATATTTAATTAACTGAACCTCGGGAATCTGGCAGTTTTGACCGATTTTCAGAGGTCCCATATCGGGAAATCCATTCGACTATGAAGAGAATGGTAAATACTTGGTTTTTTCAAATTTAGTGTCAGAGCATTATATCTAAACCATTTCTCTATAATCCAAAAATCATCTTCCACTTATGACTTCGAGGATTTCCATAACTTAGATTCATAAAAAATAGCAGTGTCGTCTGCGAAACTCAGAAGTTTGCCTTTTTTTATACTTAGTAAATTATTAATATACAGAGTAAACAAGAGGGGGGCCAGTACCGTTCCACGAGGTACTCCATATGTAACAGTCATTGGTTCACTCGAAGTCTCACCAATGCGAACTCTACAGCCATGATCTATTGAATAACTTTTCAAAATTTTATGAATGTTACTTCTCATGTCATGGTTTTTCATTTTTCCAGTAATTTCATATGGCACACAGTATTTGTGTTAAGAATCCATTTCATAAGTTTATGTTTAGATGAATATTATTTTTCATCAATTTGAATGGTGGAGGCAATTTGTTTTATATTTTTGGGCATAAATAGAATACAATTATCTATCGAAATGTTTTGTCATGTTTCAGGATCATGTTCTTCAGGTATGAGCTCAAGTAATTATTGGTGAATACTTACAATTATTCTTTGGCAGTATAACTGTCTCACATCAAGTATTTCGCTCAATTAAAAAAAAATCTAAAACGTCACTAGCAAATTACTTCACATTCAAGTTTGTTAATATAATTTTTCCAGGTAAAAAAAAAGAAATTCTGAAGTTGACTTAATTGCTGCTGTATGATTTCTCAATGTAAACAAATAGGAGCATTCATAAACCATTCCTTAAAGAAAGAGTGTGGTGTATGAACTCTCTCATTGATTTTCATCATAACTTTCTTAAAGTTGAAGATAAAATAAAAGTTTGGTATATGAACCATGAGCTCTTGATATTGAAATAAACGAAATATAATTCAAATAATTTTCTGAGGTACTCACCTCATCATCTGAAAATGTACTTGTTACTGGGCAAGAGTTGACTATTTTGACAATTAATCCCTGTGGAACAGGGAAAGCGAACCAGTAATAGTAGTGAAATTTCTTTAGATCCTATAAAATTGCTTGTTTAATTGGGAGAATATAAATATTACAACTATGTTTCTTACAGCAAATGACAATATTACGAAAGAATTCAACACAGAAGGGTCTTCTAGGGCCTCACCATTTTTAATTTTCAAATAAATGGATTTCCCTTCATTGTTAATGAGTTCCATTTTATCACACTCCCTGAATTGCTCCAGAGTATTTTTATTGAATAATTTTCCATGAAAGGGTAAGTACATGTTTTGTCCTATAAATTCCCTGAAAATGCTTGTTATTTCAAATAGGTAATATGAATATTAGCCAACTTACGAATTGAAAGATGTACTATCTACTTCGAGAAGGGAGGTCGGTAATATTTTGTTGGACAGGATGGTGAAGTAACCCCAAACATGTTTCTCTCTTTCATCTAGTTTGTACACCTCTAGTTTCAACTCCGAGAGTTTATTCCAAAAACTTGGATTTATGGACGAAGCAAGTGGAATATAAGAAAGGTTTAAAGTCATTTTATCACTTTACGATATCACAGTAGTAAGGTAAAAATTTTTCAGTTTTTGTAAATGTAAATCCACTTATATCATGTCCATGTCCATGGTAAATGATAAAGTAAACATATGTCAAGTCATAAAATATTCTGTGGCCATAAAGCGATTTACCAAATGTACAACTGTTAATTACCAAACGCATTAAAACAATCGTTGTAGATCCTTGGTTATAAGTCGTGAAGTTATAAAATAACCCTTGTTTACGTCAGTGTTTCTACATAGACTAATAGATGAATGCAAAGTATCAATCGGTGGACTTACCGAAGAATTTGAGAACTCGCCTTGTTTTCGAGTTGTCAACTGTCAGTATTGTTTCATACTACACCGATCTCAAGAGTTTTCTCACAAGAACGATTTCGAAATTATTTGGAACATTCTTTCGTGTGCAACGTCATACAAATCGAATCGCAAACATGTTTGCTTTGTTAGCACAATTTGTGGTTATCTGATGAACAATCAGAAAAGCCTCACTAAGGCAAAACTAATTATTATCAATAATCATACAGTCGACTACAGTAGGTAATGATGAATTATCAATGACTATAAAAAAATTACTTCATATTTCTACCTCATGAAAAACGATAATGATAAAAACAATCTTTAGAGATCATTTAATATTTCAATTTTGACAACTGAAAGGTCCCCTCTGTGAAAAATTGGAACTAAGGGAATTAACGATCTGTTTGACGAACAGATGCCATCAGGGTATGTTTTTTATCAGGTCTGAAAATTCAGCACTTTCAATTTTATACTAAAAAGAAATTGAATAATTATTTGTAATTCCAAGCACTATTCACAGTTTTATTGGAGGCGATATATTTGTTACATTCAAAATATTTTGAAAGTGAGGCTTATGCATGTTCCCTATTGAATATGAATATACATTTTCTAGATAAATTTTACTGCATTGGAGTTGAAGGTGTGGCAAACAAATATAATGCTGAAAAGGAAAATTAGTAGCCATGAATCAAAGAGAGTCTCACCCAAGAACAATATATATATTAGTAGTGTAGTACTATATTTGAAGTGATTGTAATTTTTCTTCCAAACAAAATTTTAAGGCATCATCAGATAATGGGGCACCAAGAAGAAACCAATTGGGTTTTTCAATCACTCGTATACCAGGAGCTATTAGGTTGAATTGATCGATGATGTTAGGGTCCTGTTTATCCAGAAAAATGAGTTCACATTTCTCGAAATTTAGTTCAAGTCCCAGGTCTTTCGAATGACTTATTGTGTTACGAAAATTTTCTAATACCGCATTTGCTTTGTCACCAATTGAACCATCATCCAGATACCAGCCGTTGCATTCAGTGGATATTTTAGTTATGATATGGTGGATAGAAAGACAGAACAATAGTGATCCAAGTGGATCTCCCTGCTGTACTCCTTGTTCGGACATTATAATTTCGTTACCAAATATTAAGAAAGAAGGTTCACTGTACCATTGTTCAATAAAAGGGTATATGTCTGGTATGGCGTTAGCCACCGAATGTAACATGAAATTCCTGTCTATGCATGCATATGAATGCATTCTTGAAATCAAGTTTCAGAAAAACTCTTTCAACTGGGTTAGGGTTTTGATTAATATAACATCGTGCAGCATGGGCTACTGCCTCGCAACCACTATTTTTTCGAAATCCAAATTGTTGGGGACGAAATAGATTTGCAAGACTTTCTCGTAGATTGAAACAAGCAAGTTTCGCTACTAAACGTCAATAAAAATTTCCAACAGCTATAGGACGTAGACCGCCAGTCTTTTTCTTTAACGCACATAAAGAAGCACCATATAAAATAGGACGTATGTCTTGATGGATCTTTCCAGAAAGAAGCATATTGCAAAGGTTCGTTAAAGAATTCAAAAGATGTTCGCCACAACTACCGGAACTATACTTAGCATATCTTGAATATGGGACGGAATATGGCAATGAATCAAGACTTCCACAAGAACCGGTGCGAAAAGATTTCACTGCTCTGAGAACATCTGCGCTTGTAACTTCCAGAGGACTATGAGAAGTTGTATACTGTCCAGAATTGTATAAACTTTTAGAAGTTTAATTCTTCCAATGTTGCAGCATCAAATTCAGCAGGACTATCAGTAGAACAGATAAATCTAACAGCTGCTGTTATATTACCGTCAGAGACTTTCGAGAGTATTTGTTTTTTGAGGATGTCATTATAATTTGTATGTTTATCAGAAATTTTGCCATAACAATTAGTCGATTTCGTAATGTTATTATTGAAACTTTTCAAATTTTTCTTCACTATTGTTGTGATTGAAATTTTTCGATTATCTTCAGTTCTCTGAATACTGAAACTTTCATAAACAAACATGAGCAAATTTTTCCAAGCAGTGAAAGAATTCCTGGATACACATCCGTTAATAAATTTTTTGAGGGTGATTGCAGAGAGTAACCTTGCAGCCTTCGGAATACGTTTAATAGTATGAATATTTCTTCTCAAATTATTTAAAAGGATATGAAATGGAACTTCTTTGTTTCCAGGGTCAGATTCTTCCTCGAAATCATTATCGGGATTGGAGTTTTCATAGGAACTTGTAGTATCGATTGATTTAGAATGAACTTTTCGCATGTGGATTTTCAACCCTTGTACTTTGAAAAATTTTCCACATATTGAACATTCTGCTTTGCCACCATAAGTTGAGAGTTATTTTTATACATATCTACTCTATCGAAGAAGTATTGTTCTTTTTTAATAAATTTACTACTTCATTTCTGTTTCTTAAATTCTTTCCATTTGACATTTCTATTCACCCCAATAGTTTTAATAAAATCCTTATATATCTGATCACGTTGTTTTATTTTATTATGAATTTCGTTGTCAAACCATGGAATGTTACTTTTATAGTGACAGACTTGAATTGGTGCAATTTTATCGATAACCGATTGACAGTTATTGAGTAAATTGAAATATACCTATGACACTAACATCTGTTGAATTCAAATTCCAATCACATGAAATTAAATCTAATTTTATATTATCCAAATTTCGCTCACTAAGTTTTCTATAATTTATTATAGAAGTGCTTTCATTTCGTTTGTTATTTTTGAGACAAATAGATATCAATGAATGGTCACTTATTTTAGGAGTAGGATGGACAAAACAGTTCGCACAATTATTATTAGTTAGTACATAATCAGAGTCTCACTGTTATTAGTAATTCTGGTAGGATCCAGTACTAGTTGATCAATTCCATATTGCTAAAAAAATAGATTTGATTTTTTTCACATAAAAACTGTTATTCAAGAAATCTAAATTAAAATCTCCTACAAGAATGCAACGCTCATCATTGACAAAGATATCATCAAAGATATTTTATAGGTTTTCTATGAATATAGAATCTAAGCTGGATAGAGAATGAAAAATACAACCCACTAACCACTGACACACACCAAAATGTACTCTTATGGCCTTACACCAGTAATTGTCTTTTAAAATGTAAGTTTTCTTTGTTGAACACTGTATACCATCCTTCACATAAATCACAACACCCCCGGTTTGCCGATTTGTAGAATGCAGAGTAATATAAAATGTTTATTTGAATTTGGTAAATTTTATGTATGATATCAGTAAAGAGGTGGATATAAAGGTTCTTTATTGTTTTTTTTGTTGTGAAGTAATATTTTTGTTTACTATGGTTGGTTTATTGTTGATAAATTTTATTGTTTTTGAATCGTCACCATTTCTTATGAACGTTTCAAGTTTGGCTTTAACATAAACACATCTACCTAGCTAGACCAGCAAGCAACCTGTAATGTGAGAATTTTGAGTGGATTGGAGATATCAAATAACTTTGGAACATTCAGTTTCAGACCGCACTTTCAATTAATGTAATTGAAAATTAAAAATTATTACTTTCACTATGTTACTTCTTTAGATTCGAAATCTGGGTTGTGTATGTTGACATTATTATTCGCCACTTCATGTGTTTTGTATACGATCAATATAAGGAATCATGTACTTGGAAAGGGTAAAAGTTTGATTCTTCCATTAATATTAATTTTGAGAAATTTCTGAAACAATAAATATAAAAATTTGGTCTATCAAGCACCCATTATTTTCAGCTTTCTAGGGGTCGATTTTTTACAAGGAATTTGGAAATTCTCTTGTATAGGATATATCTGAGAGAGATTTACATTCAGAATGTTATTTGAAATATTGTTTTTCTGTGAATCCGAATGGTCATACAAATATGGTGGGTTAATTTTTAAATTGGTAATTTTTTGTTTCATGTGTGTGTTACAAAATTCGCACTTTTAATATAATGTCTAATTAGACTGTCATTGTTAATTTTTTAAATTATTTATTCATTTCAAAATGGAATCGTGTAGCTAAACATGTGTTGTGGTCTTGTAAACTGTTCAATGAAAATCATACAATAAAACGTTACTTGGGTATTTTAAATAATAAATGAATGAATGTCATTCTTATATCATATAAATCTAAAAGTGGTTACTTTCAATGCATTTTGAACATATATATTTGAATAACTTCATTATTTATTACATTGAAATATACTACTTTGGCTATATTTGATTGAGTGCAGTTATATTGTTGTTTACAAATGCAGAAGTACATAGAATGGTTACTGTCATCCTTTTGAAATTTGCATAGCAAGTGTGATCATTTGAAGTTTTATACAACTTATCAACTGGGCTTTCAATAACCTTTAAAAATTGGCAAATTAGATCACAAAACATGAGTTACAAACGATTTTTCTTAATTTCAATTGTGCAGATATATTTTTATTGTTATTGCTTTCGAGAAATTTGATACAACAAAAAATACTTCAGATATTTAATATAGCAATTAATAAACAATTAATATTTTTATGCAACATCTGAACTTTAAATAATTGCAGTTTCTAATTATGAAAAAATTAATAACTAATTCTTTTAATAATGTATAACTTGGTAACATGTACATTTTCTGCTGCTGGGTTTAATCATCAAAATCTTCATCTTCGCTAAATTCCAAAACCTGAAAAAGAAGTGTGAAATTTGCCACCCTATTCAATACCCTATTCAAATCATACATCACCAAATTTATTTTCCAAGAACATATCTGGCATAAGTGAAATTTCTTCTAGGTGTTTCGAACTATCAAAAACCTTCAGAAGAAAATCTATGCCTTTTGTCTTATATTCTTTTATAATCATTTCAGAACATGCCACACAATTCTTATACTTTGGAGTGGCAGGAATGATTTGATTAACAGGTGACAGAAAGCCTCTTATGGTATGAGGAACAAGACCAAGAATTGAGGAATTTGCGCCTTCAAGATCTTCAATCTTACTTTTAGGAGACGTACTGTAAAAAGCGGGAGCATATAATCTGAAAAAAAAATTAACAGTAGTAAATATCCGGATAGGCGGCAAAAAACCTTATTTTGAAGAGAAAACATCCAAAAATAATTCAAGTGACTGAAAAAAATAAGGACATTTTCAAACTTATACATTAATGTATAAGTTTGAAAATGTCCTTATAGGACGAAACTGTAGTAACAACGTTAGTTACAAATAAAAGTGTTAAAAAACATAGAAAATTTCAATTCCCTTTTCTTCTGCAACTGAAAGCTCTTCAATGTATGAGAAATACACATACGTTTGGATTAAAATTCTCTACAATGTAGCGTCTAAAAACTCTTCAATGGAGTAAAATGATTGATTTATTAGATAACGAGTCAGATTATCCTTCAACACATTTGCACTTGCTGAGTTTAAGTGCGGGAATATTTTCATCAGTCGGTTATAGCACCTGATTCCTTGGTATATGTGAGAATCCTGACCAATGCTCAATCTTGAGTATGGCTGGTGAATTCTCTCACTATTTCTCGTATTGTATTTGTGTAAATCACATCTTTTACTGAGGTTATTTTCTTCTATTTTGACATTGATGATAATCAGAAGAATGTAAAGTGAAGGGGCTGTTTGAATATGTTTCTACAAGAGGTTCCACGAGCTACGCCAGCCATACATCCAATTATTTTCTTTTGGATGATGAAGACTTTATTTATATGTACTGAATTTTCTCAGAAGATCATTCCGTAGCTCAATGCAGATTGTACAAGTCCAAAGTACGCTAATTTAAGTATGTTTAATGATATTGTGCCCTTGAGTTGTCTGATAATAAAGCAAATGGTTCTCAATTTATTTTTTATATCATTAATATGAGGTTCCCATGTCATTTTTTTGGCCTATTTTGATATCCAGAAATTTAATGAAATTTACCTGTTCTATTGATTTATGACTCACTCGTATTAAAAAATTCATATCTCGATTAATATGTTTTGTTGTGAATACCATAAAGAATGTTTTTGTAGGTTAACTAATAGTCCATCAAACAAGCACCATTTATGAAAATCATTGCCACAAATGCTTGTGGTAACAGCAATTTTTAAATCATTATCTGATATGAGAATATTAGTGTCATCAGCATACATGACAATTTTTCCAGCATTGGGACATGAGTACACCATATCATTGATAAAAATTATAAAGAGAACAGGTCCTAAGATTGATCCTTGAGGGACACTAGTATTTACAATTTTTTATGTTGATGTATTTCCACCTAATACTACAATTTGTTGTCTCTCTCTGAGATAAGATACAAGCCATTCATTTGCGACTCCTCGTACACCAATCTGATACAGCTTATCCAATAAAAGATTATGGTCAACTGTATCGAATGCTCTAGTCAGGTCAAAGTAAAGTGCAATGGGATTGTGTTTGTCGTTGAGAGAGTCATATATGTTTGTACAAAAATCGCCTATTGCGGTTAATGTTGATTTGTTTTGTCTGTAACCGTTTTGACAGTTAAATAATATGTGGTGGTGATTTAAAAATTTGTTGATACGATTATTATATGCCATGTCAATTATTTTTGCTATTTGACTCTGTAACCAAACATTACGGTATTTTGTAACATCATCTTTTGATCCTTCAATTTTGAAAATTGGTATCGACTTGGAGACCTTAAGGACCAATGGGTACTGTCCCGAAATGAATGATTCATTTATTATATGAGCCAATGGTAAACTCATTATCTCTTTAACATGACGCACACCTTTCCCACATATATCATCTATTCCAGAAGCAAACTTCTTAGTTGTCTTCATTGTATATTCTTCAATCTCTTGACTGGTGGTGGGAGAAAGAAAGAAACTGTGTTCATAATAAGGAGATAGTTTCAATGTATCAACCTGTGGTTTTGGACAAGGTATGTCCATGAAAAAAGTCACTTAGAGCATTACAGATTTCACTTTGGTTCGATATTATTCTGTTGTTTATAATAAGTTGTTTCACTGTGTTATTTGTTGCCTTATTTTTCGACTCATTGATTATTTTCCAGCTCTCTCTAATTAAATTTGGTGCTCGTTATAGTCTGTCGTTGTTATAAGTAAGTTTATTTTCCTTCACTATTTCATTGTAATAGTGCTTCAAGATTTTATACCTTGTATGTACTATATTGTTAGATGTACTCTTCACAATTTTTGACATCTCACATAGCAAATTATGAAGCTCTTTCAATTTGGAAGAGTATCATGGATTTTTATTTTCACTCAAATGGAATTTTCGCCAAGTGAAAGCGATGTTGTAGTGATATAGAAGTTGTTGAATTTATTATCTATATTTGATGAATTAAATGTGTCTCCCCATGTTTCTTTCTGTAGTAAAGTTTTAAAAGTCATTAGATTATTTTCTGAGATATCACGTTTGAATATTACCGCATTTTTAACTTTTTCGTAATGTATATAAAACTGGCATATTTGAAAAGTATGATCAGATATGTGATTTTCTTTAATTATTTGTTGTTCAACGTCTAAATTTGTGAACATGACATCAATAGAAGTGAAGCTTTTGCTGGTAATTCTTGTTGCATGATTGATATGATTTACCATTCCGAATTCATTGGAAATATTGATTGTTTCTCTGGTATTTTGATCCAATTTGAGTCAGATCTACACATATTACAGCAGCTTCGAAGTGCTTTTCTATATTACGATGAAAAGTCACGACAGAAACAGTCTATGAGAGAAAAGATATTTATTATGCTTTTAATAAACATAGTTTTTGGCACTTGAATATAGTATCTCACAGTTTTCTGCTTGAAACTATCAAGCTTATTATTTTGCTCATAATTGTTCATTCATCTATTTTTAAAAACAGTAAGCGTACACACGTCTCAATTGACTAAAGTATGAATAAGCCGTTACCCTGAAATACTTTAATGAACCCATTTAGGGAAACTGAGTCAGCAAAGAAATAGAAACCTCTCAAATAAAAAAGTGGTAAACAAATCTTTGGAAGATAATCTAACGAAACACGTTTTCCACACACCCGAACTATAGCTAAGCTGTAATTCATTTGAAAAGAATTAGTTTTAGTCTGAATTACAGTGAAATATTGATGCTAACTTGGTTGAATTATATACAGTTTCTGGTATAATCTGTATGAAGATTCAAAAAATTTTGAAATCCCATAAATTTCATGTAAATAAAATCCATCTTGTGCTAAAATTAAATACAAAAATTTCAGTTAAAAGTTGAGAAAAAGTAATTTTCTTAATTTCGACTTGTCATCAACTTAGAATATATCTCAATATCTAATGCATCAAATTTTAAAACGTTGAAAAGAGAAATCGATGACTTTTCAAATGAGGTATGGCTTGACCCCCAATTCCAATTGAGATTTAAGGATTGGATTTCATCTGTCAAAGTGTTGAAAGTTAAAAATATGGTCAAAAGATATCCACCTCCAGTAACATTCGAAGGGCTGGGTCATTTTTTTTAAACACTATGAGAAATGGTCGATGTATATCGATAGGATATGTTCATTTTATATAAATGACACACTTACCCTTCTTTGTGTTGTAAAATGGAAACTGCTAATTCTACTGCAAGAGCACCCGCTATTTGTGAAACACCTGGCCTTGTCACAGTACACTGTTGGTCTAATGTTCTGTTCTTCATTGACTGAAAATAAATTGTTATTACTCATTTCAGTGGAATTGGAAAAACTTTCACAACGAATAATGTGCAGAAAGTATGTTCTATGAAGACGTGTTGATTTAATTTTTACAACAGTGTAAATGGTCCACAACATTTTTGAAAAAAAAATCAATAAATTCTGAGTTTGAAGTCATTGCTGTCGAAAATTAATAACAATTTTCATCACATGCCGATTTTTTTCCCTGAATTTTGTAACAAAACTCTAAAGAAGAAGTGTTTTAAAATTTCAAAATTGGCATGTATATTGAAAATTGATTGGAGTAATTGATATTATTTTGATCTCTGGAATGAAATAAGAATTTCAAATATATAAAAAAGATCTTTAAATTTACTCCCCTTCTGATTTTCAAGATATCTCAAATAATTTTAAATGAATGTTTCAAGTATGTTGTTAGTTACTCACATTTCCTGGAACAGTTACATCATTACAGAAGTAACATCCTAAATCTGCTCCGTTGATTGCCAGGAAACCGTTTGGATGTGGTATATCCTGTTGATATCCATTTTCAATGTGAATTCCGTGTCTCATGACTAGATAGGCATCAAATCCCAAAGCAGCATTTATTACTATCTGAAAAATACTGAGCAGTAAACATTTATAAAAAAAAAACTATAAAAACATTGTATCATCTGTTACATTTCTGTAAAACAACCACACTGAAATGAATACCTTTTGTTGGGCACTTCCTAACAAAGTTGGCAGCCACCTGCTTTCTCTTGAATCTGTTAATAGAAAAATAACATCATGATCTGCTATCAGTTCGCTGAGTTTTTGAACACTTCCTATAGTACTTTCAACCATACTGTCACCAACAGTGTGACCTGGCATTGGAATGGTAATTTGGAATCCTTTAGAATTCTGAAAACGTTCGAAAAATTATCGTAATGAACATTAATAACTCAGCAGAATTGAATATTTCTGGAGTCATGATGAGTTTTTCACTATATTAAAATCATAGAGATCTAGATCAAGTTTCATCATCTGTCTTTCAGTGAGAGGAACACAGATGAAATAATTCAATTAAATTAAATCTATTCAATTTTCTTATGACTTTCAGAGAAGAATGGTCTTCACTTTTACTCAACATTCCACTTTCAGAGATCACTTCTTTTGAATATAACATATTTTTTCATTATTTGTTCTTAAACACACTAACCTAAATCACTAAGATCTGGCACTTTTGTTGTACTTTTGTGACCTTACACAAGAAATTCAAGACTTTTTTGAAGATCACTAGAAACGTCAGTTGATCTAATAACTGCCGAGAAAAGATTTTGGAAACCATATGTTTAGGCAAATAACCTACCCACACAAGCTGAAGGGAAAATTGAACACTTGAGTACTACCAAATATACTTGCAGTTTTTCCCATTAGTCCTTTGAAAAATTATGATTTGTTAACATCAGATTTTTTTATCTTCAACACGATTTCAAGTAGTCTTTTTTTATGATGCTTCATTGAGAAAAGTTAAACAAAATGAGTCTAGTCATTCTTGTCGTGTCAGTAGGCCTATATTCAAATCGTAATATCCAACAAAAACTTTCATGAGTAATTTCCCTTTTTTCACAGACTCGCTTTTTTCCGAAATTCAGTACATTGTCAAGTTCTTGAATATTATAGGCAAATTTAATGAATATCATAATACTACATTTCAATAGCCCCATCCAAAGGTCATTTGTAAAAACATCTTGTGTACAGCTACTGTGCAAAATAATTCATCACATCCGATTATATTTGGAAATGAGTTCAATAACCAAATATTCTTATTATCATAACTTAGAATAGACTTCAAAATGCTGATCTTAAATTACTATTGATATTCGTGGAGTGAATACTACAACTAGATAACTAAAAATCAGCTATTTCAGGGAAAACTCAAATTAATGTTTTTTCACGATTTTGGTAAAATATGGAGGCTTGATTAAATGTCATTTTACTCCCGTTTCTAAATTTTATTATTTTAGCACTAGAAATATTTTTTTATGTTGATTTATATATTCTATATGAATAAATGGGGTGCTTATATATTGGATGTTTCATTTATAAAATATAAGTTTGATTGCCTTTGCCACCCAATGTGTGAGAAATTTATTTTGAAAAGTATTGATTGATATTAACAAAAAAAAACAAAGAACTTTCGTTAACTTCAATCTTCAAAGGCGTGATCAGGCGATATTTTGTTTGAAATTTATTTTTTCAAAACTTCCTATATCTTTAAATTTGATACAGTAGTCAAGAAAAAGTATAAGAAAACCTGCAAAAAAAACCTAACTATACTTTTTTCACTTTTCGCTCTAGATGTAGCGAGAATAATGCTACCGACTTCGATGGAATTTTGGCGAATTTTCCACCGCATTCGATTACGATATATAAAGGCTAGCCACGAGCATATCGACAGTCAAGTGGAAGTTACAGTGCGGAACGCGAAGCGATCTAGTAAGGCGATAGACATTCGACTTATAGTTGAAGTGTTTGTTGTATTTAAAGTGAAATAAAGTTAAGTTTGATTATTGTTTAGTGTAGTCAATTATTGGTCAACCCACGGGGAAAAACGTAACAATATTGACAATAATGCACTGCAAAAATTGTTTCATTTTACAAGAAAAAGTAACAATTTTAATAAAAACAAACAAATCAATATGTTGAACAACTAGCACCTGTAAACTGTCTCCAACAGTTACCTAGTTGTAGTATGTTGTGCACCTAACCTAATGGAATTTTTTTTTTGCAGTTATCCATATTTTGACAAATTTATAATTACCTAGTTGTAGTACTCACCCCACAATATAATTATGCAACTTACCACTCCAGGAAAAATCTTGCTCAAGTTTTCAGCTGCCGCCTGTGACTTTGGCTTCATCTCAACAGAATCCTGATGAGTAAATAAACTTTGTCGAACTGGATTTGAAAAAGACACAGTCGAATTATCAACAAATGTGATGTGCCTCACACCCCATCCCTAGAAATATCAGATCAATACTTATTGAAAGCATGAAAAAAAAAGTTTTGATTGAAGAAATGTTGTTTGAACTCACCAAAAGTGTCCTAGCCACAGAACAGCCCAGAGTGCCCGATCCCAATAATATGCATTTGGTTTTCTTCAATTTTTCTAGATCAATTTCTGGCAAATTACTCCATTTCATCAGTTTGAGATTCAAATTAACAGAGTTTTCAGAAATGCTGAAAAAGATCAGATTTCAAAATAATCTTCTTTATAATAACTTTTATTGTACTTCAGAATTACAGTGTATTATTCCAATTTCTTTTACTTAAATTAGATAGAATCGACAACATTTGTATATAAAACTAAAGAAGTTCTTGATTTGAGTATATCAAATAAATATAACGTAACTTTGGTACAGTATGAATCTCATAGAATCTAAATCATGAAAAAGACAATTGAATGATATTTGTATCTGATGATTTAGAACTGATCTTGGAAAAAGTCAATTCTACTCTAAGGTTTTTCTGCAGCTGAAAAAGCAAATGCGCCACTGAAATCAATGAAGTCGCCCCGGAGCGCCAATTGATTTTCATTGTTGTTTAAATTCTACTCTAAGGTTTTCCTGCAGCTGAAAAAGCAAATGCGACCCTGAAATCAATGAAGTCGCCCCGGAGCGCCAATTGATTTTCATTGTTGTTTTTATTTTTATCGTTGTTTTACAATAAAATTCAGAGTTATTCAATAAAATAAACTATATCTTGGATATTAAAAACATGATTGCTTCTGAACATAATCCCGAAAAGTTTTTACTATTTCAAAATACTTGCTATGACATTCAATATACAAATTCCAACCTTTGTTCAATTCAAATTGTTTTTGAATAACGAGGAGCTGAAGGTGAATTTTAAAATAGGGTATCAAACATTTTGGTTGCAGGCTGAAATACCCGAAAAATAGCCTCGCCTCGCGACAGGCCCTGCACCTTGTGTCAGGAACATCTAGCCACTGCAACTGCGGTAGACTAAGGTGTTGAAGACACCATCCTGGCAGGCCATGATGAACCCCCCAGTTTCTGACTTCAGCCCACTCGACCTTACTTATTATTATCATTATTTTCACCGAAGTTTGCGCGCTGGTTAGGCCCTATCCTCCAAAGCCCCGACACATTCGAGAGGGCGCACCAGCATTATCAGCCAACGACTCACTATTTTGAGGTAAGTGATCAAAAAAGACAGCCTTCTACATCTGTCCAGGTAAAATTTCTGCGTTAGTGCAGCAAGCCGGTATGATTTTATGATTCGAGAATAGAGAGGGCATCATTCCACCAGAGACTCTAATAATCAGAGCAACCATCTTGACAGAGTGGTCTGGATAGAGTCTGCGGAGTTCCTAGAGTAAATTTCGATATTTTATCCGTTTTTCCTCCTCCTATTATTAGATCTAATCTTCGCATTTTTTTGTGGAGTTTCGGGAATATGGTAGAAATGTAGCTGATAAAAAAAAGTTTGGGAACCTCGTTGTAGAGTACTGAAATTTTTGGGTTACTCTTATTGGGATGGAATTTTAAAGATTTAGAGTGTGCCCCGGAATATTAAATTTGTGTTACTGATATTCCATAGATGATCTAACTTGAGCTGTATAAAGTATCAAAAGTTGTGAGATATTTACAACTTTATATTTTGAAGTAGTGTTTTATGTTTCTGTTTAAGCT